AGGAAGCTCAACCCCAAGCCTGTGGGCTCGACTGGGGTCCCCTGAGCCTGCGTCCCTGAGCCCCGACCCCCTGGATGTTTGGGGAAAACAGGCGGGCACCTCCGGGCGCCAATGGGCAGGCCAGGCTGGAAGAGCAGGCACGCCCCGTCCATGGCTCAGCTCCCTTGGGTGTGAGTGTGGGAGGCGCAGGCAGATAAAAGGGGCCCCACCCCAAGCTCAGAGGACGCTGCCGCCCACAGTGCAGGCTCCCCAAGAGGCCTCCAGCTCCGGCAGAATGGGCGATGGGGGTGGAAGCACAGCTGGGTATGGAGCACAGGTGTACACACACACACACACACACAGCCAGAGGGTAAGTCTTCTCTCAGGTCCGATACCCGGCAGCTGTCGGAGATATATTTCATTTTTTTAATAACTTATTTATGGCCCTGACCGGTGTGGCTCAGCGGATAGAGCGCCGGCCTGCGGATAGAAGGGTCCCGGGTTCGATTTCTGGTCAAGGGCATGGACCTTGGTTGTGGGCACATCCCCAGTGGGGGGCGTGCAGGAGGCAGCTGATCGATGTTTCTCTCTCATCGATGTTTCTAACTATCCCTCTCTCTTTCTCTCTGTAAAAAAAAAAAAAAACCAAACCAATCAAATGTATTTTTTTAAAAAATTATTTATTTATTATTTATTTATTTGGTGTTTGTTATTGTTCTTGTTGTTCATCCTCACCCTAAGATATTTTTCCATTGGTTTTTATTTCTGATAGATAGATAGATGATAGATATAGATATAGATATAGATATAGATATAGATATAGATATAGATATAGATATATAGATAAATAGATATATAGATATGTAGATATACAGATATATAGATATATAGATAATTTCTTTATTAGAAGCCCGGTGCATAAAATTTGTGCACTCTGGATGGAGGGAGATCCCTCAGCCCAGATTGCAAGAGGGCGCAGGCCAGGCCGAGGGACACCACTGGTGCAGGATTGGGGGCCGGGGAGGGACGCGGGAGGTTGGCCAGCCGGGGAGGGACCATGGCAGGGCTCCAGGGCATGTCCAGCCCGTCTCGCTCAGTCCCCATCAGCCAGACCCCAGGAGCAAGCTCACCTACTGGTCAGAGAATCTGCCCCCTGGTGGTCAGTGCACATCGTGGTGACTGGTCGACCCGTCGACTGTCTGCCCCCTGGTGGTCAGTGCACGTCACAGCGACTGGTCGACCCGTCGACTGTCTGCCCCCTGGTGGTCAGTGCACATCATAGCAACTGGCTGACCTGTCAACTGTCTGCCCCCTGGTGGCCAGTGCACGTCATAGCGACTGGTCGACTGTTGGCTGTCTGCCCCCTGGTGGCCAGTGCACGTCATAGCGACTGGTCGACTGTCGACTGTCTGCCCCCTGGTGGTCAGTGCACGTCACAGCGACTGGTCGACCCGTCGACTGTCTGCCCCCTGGTGGTCAGTGCACGTCATAGCGACTGGTCGACTGTTGACTGTCTGCCCCCTGGTGGTCAGTGCACATCATAGCAACTGGCTGACCTGTCAACTGTCTGCCCCCTGGTGGCCAGTGCACGTCATAGCGACTGGTCGACTGTTGACTGTCTGCCCCCTGGTGGCCAGTGCACGTCATAGCGACTGGTCAACTGTTGACTGTCTGCCCCCTGGTGGTCAGTGCATGTCATAGCGAGTGGTTGAGCAGCCTTAGCATATCATTAGCATGTTACGCTTTGATTGTTTGAATGGATGACCGGACGACCAGACACTTAGCATATTAGGCTTTTATTATATAGGATTGTTGAAAGTATTACATATATCCCCTTCCTCCCCAGCCCCCCTCTATTCCACTCACACCCACACCCCTCTTTTCATTGATTTTTAGAGAGAGTGGAAGGGAGGAGGAGGAGGAGAGAGAGACATCGATGGAAGAGAAACACATGGATGGGTTGCCTCCTGCATGAACCCCGACCATGACTCAGGCCGGGGATCAAGCCCACAACCAAGATACGTGCCTTTGACGAGAATCGAACCCGGGACCCTTCGGTCTGCAGGCTGACACTCTATCCACTGAGCCAAACCAGCTAGGAATTTTTTTTCTTTTAATAAATTTGTATTGATTTCAGAGAGGGAGAAGGAGAGGGAGATAGAAGCACCCATGATGAGAGAGAAACATCGATCAGCTGCCTCCTGCACGCCCCCCACTGGGGATGTGCCCGCCACCCAGGTCCATGCCCTTGACCGGGAATCGAACCCGGGACCCTGAACTTCACAGGCCTACCCTCTATCCACTGAGCCACACCGGCCAGGGCTGAATTCCTTTGTTAAAGTGTTTACCACTCCCCCCCACCCCCACCCAGGTGCTCACCCACATAGAAAACGCAAGAATCCTCTTTAGAAATGCAGGAATGCTGTCGTCACGGAGTCTTGCTACCACCTTGCGAACCAAGGACACCCCTGTCAGAGGTTGACACGTGACCTCATCTTTTTGGGGGGGTTGATTTTTCTCTGTCCAATGGCATTGAAATATATAAAATAAATATCAACTATATACGCCTTTGTTTGACTGCGGTGGCAAAGATCAAAGAATTTCTATGGGTGACACGGCACCAGAGTTCAGTGAGGGTTTTTCCAAAATGCGGGCACCCCCAGCTCGAAAGGTTCGCCGTCGCTGGCCTAAGGGGTCGCAGGTGTGGTTGCAAAGGGTTAAGTGCGTTTCTTTTGCCAAAACCTGCTCTGCCTCCTCCCCCCCCCCCCCCGCCCCCATGGCCATAACCCTCAAGCCCCACCTGACTGTGAAAAATTCTTCTAGTTAGGCAGCTCGATTTGTCTGTATTCTATAAAACATTTTCACAGAAATTCTAAAAATAAAAGTTCTAGTCTAAAAAAATAAAAAAATAAATTTAAAAAAAGAAAAACTCTTCTTTGTTCGTTTGTTTGTTTCATTTGGACTCTGTTCCACGTAAAAGTAAAACACACACACACACACAAAAAAAAAATCCCCCAAAAAACAACAACAATGAAATCCATTATTGAAGTCTGAGAAAAATATGGTGCGATTCCCCAATTGTTGGCACGTTCCATTGGACATCTCCCTTGTGGATAATTTTTTTATCCTGACTCCAAAACCCACTGCGCTGTGATTTTTTTTTTTTTTACATTTTTAAAAAATACATATTTTTATTGGTTTCAGAGAGGAAGGGAGATGGGGAGAGAGAGAGAGAAACATCCATGATGAGAGAGAATCATGGACCGGCCGCCTCCTGCACGCCCCCCACTGGGGATGGAGCCCGCAACCCGGGCCTGTGCCCTTGACCGGGAATCGAACCCGGGACCTCCTGGTTCATAGGTTGACGCCCAACCACTGAGCCACACTGGCCGGGCTCAAAAAATTTTTTTACCTCATTTTATAGACACAAACGTGCTCAAGATGTCAGACACAGAAAAGTCGCTAACATGCCCCCCAAAAAGCCAGATGTCAGTCTTTTAGACAAGCAGGGGGAGCAGGGACCAGTGACAGAATCTGGGGGGGGTGTCAAGTCCCCCCAAGGAGGAGGGGGTGCCTTGGCATCCGAACCCTCCAAAAACGAGGGGCAGCTCTTACCAGTTTCAATGTGGAGAAGATTCTCCATGGACGGCGGCCTTGCCATCCCAGCACCTTCCCCAAACCTGGCCCATGGGAGGCGGCAGCCCTGACAGGGGTGGGACCCTGCACCTCAGAATAGGGCGAGTACCATGCTTTCGGGGTACGTCGTGGACCCTCACGCCGCCGTCTGAGACCAGAGGAATGACTCACGCGGAATGGACACCCTCTGACGAACCGTTGTCACAGCTTTTCGTTAGCGTACTCAGGGGGCGTATCTGCATGCAGGGGAATAGCTGGACAAAAGGGATATCTGCATGCAGGGGAATAGCTGGACAAAAGGGAGTGTCTGAATGCAGGGGAGTATCTGAACACAGGGGAGTATCCACATTCATGGGAGTATCTGAATTCAGTGACGTAAACAAAAGGGAGTATCTGAATGCAGGAGGGAGTATCTACAGGTGGCGAATTATCTGAACCCACAGAAGTGCCTGCATGCATGAAAGGACCTGAACACAGGGGAGTATCTGAATGCAGAAGAGTCTCTGCATAGAGGGGAGTATCTACATTCAGGGGAGTATCTACACGGAGGGGGAGTACCCGAAAACAGGGGGAGCATGTGAATGCATTGGGGAGTATCCACATGCACGGGAGTATCCACATGCACGGGAGTATCCGCATTCAGGGACGTACCTAAACAAAATGCAGCATCTGAGTGCAGAGCAGTATCTGGATGCAGGAGGTATCTATACGCAGTGGATTATCTGAACACAGAGGGGTAGCTGCATGCATGGGATATTCAGGACACGGGCAGTTATCTGAATACGGGGGGGGAGTATCTACATGCAGGGAAGTATCTGAATGCGTGGGCGTGTCTGCATTCAGGGAAGTACCTGCCTGTAGGGGGCGGATCTGAAAACAGGAGGAGTATCTGAATGCATGGGGAGTATCTGTGTGCAGGGGGACTATGGAATGCAGGGGGAGTGTCTGCATGCAACAGGGTATGTGAATGCATGGGGAGTATCTGAATGGAGGGAAGTACCTAAGATGAACACAGGGGAGTGTCTGAACGCAGAAGAGTATCTGCATGAAGGGACGCATCTGAACACGGGGGAGCATCTGCACTCAGGGGAGGACCTGCGTGCAGGGGAGAGTATCTAGATCCAGGGGAGTATCTGACCGCCAAGAACGCCCTTGTCTGGGATGTGAGAAGACAAGTGGAAAGAACAGGGTCAAAATAATAATAGTAACAATTAATAATAATTATTATTATTTCCCAGAGCAACCAGCAAGCACTTAGCTTGGCCGAATGTCTTACGGGCCCCAGAACAGGAACCGCGGGCTCCATCCCACTCCGTCTCCAGTGGCCTCTTTGAAAAAGTCACCCCGTCGCAAGATATTTCAGTAAAAAAAAAAAAAAAGAAAAAAAAATTTAAAAGCGTGTGGCTTCTCACCCCTTTTTATTAGGATGTAAAAAAACAAAAATAGAATTAAATACATCCTCAGGCACGAACACCGCTTCGACGAAAGGATGGAAGGCTCCCTCCCTCCGTTTTTGGGGGGTTTTTTTTGGTGAAATTTGCCAGCCGCCGGGCACACCCAGACGTGGCCCCGCGGACACGCTGACACATGTACACAAATTCCGGGAATCCGAATGGCGGGGGCGGGGGGAGCGTGTGACGGACGCGCGTTTCCATCTCGCGTGGGGACCCCTCGCGGGGGGGGTGGGGGGCGTGCCCTGGAGGAGGAGGGAGGCGAGAGCAATGTTCCTCGGGGCTCGGGAAGCTCAATGGTTAGGTCCGCACCGCCTGACCCTCCGGCCGGCCAAGTGCAAACAAGACGAAGAGCAAGAATCCAACTGGAGCAAAGGCAGGGCGAGGCCGGGCCGGTCCCAGGCGGGTGTGGCGGCTCCTGGCAGGGCCGGGCCGGGCCGGGCCGGGCCGGGTGAGGCTGATCCAGGTGAGGTGGGTCCCGCCAGGGCTGGCCCAGGTGTAGCAGGCCCCGCCCACTCGCAGGGATTCGTTGGAGCTACAGCAGGGACGCCCTGCAGTCCTGCTGCGAACACACTGGGGGGGTTGTTTTTGTTGTTGTTGTTGTTTTACCCCCGATATTCTATTTCGCCAGGAGCGTCTGTTGCACTGCGGGAGACAAGAAGAGATTTCACACACACACACACACACAAAATAAATAAATAAATAAAAAAGAAAGAAAAATAAAGAAAAAGAAAAAAAAAAGAGGAGAGATTTCATGTCCGGGCCGGTGTGGGTCAGTGGGTAGCACGCCGGCCTGCGGGCCGGAGGGTCCCGGGTTCGATTCCCGGCGTGTAGGAGGCGGCCGGTCCCTGGTTCTCTCTCCTCGTGGATGTTTCTCTATCTCTCTCTCCCTCTCCCTTCCTCACTGAAATCAATAAAAACAGGTTTTTTTAAAAAAAAGAATAAGATTTCAAAAAATATATATATATATAAGATTTCACCATGCTTTCCTACGTCTTCCAAGTTTCAGTAGCGGTGACTCAATTTTAGATAAAAGGTAAGTGGGCCCGAAACCTGCTCACGGGCAGACCAAACTAGACCTAATCCGATAGAAATGAAAAAAAATAATTTTAAAAAATAAATAAATTTAAATGAACTTCATTCTGCGATAGAACTGGAGCTGGAACAAAGAGATGGGCGAGGAAGAGTTCGAAAAAAAATGAGACAAAGGCCCGGCCGGTGTGGCTCAGTGGTTTGAGCGTCGACCTGTGAACCAGGAGGTCCCGGGTTCGATTCCCCGTCAAGGGCACAGGCCCGGGTTGTGGGCTCGAACCCCAGTGGGGGGCGTGCAGGAGGCGGCTGATCGATGTTTCTCTCACATCATCGATGTTTCTAACTCTCTCTCCCTCTCCCTTCCTCTCTGTAAAAAAAATCAATAAAATATATTTTTTAAAAATAATAAAAAAATAAAGAACATTTAGAAGATGAAAAAAAAAAAAATGGCAGTCCCTTCTCACCTGGTGGCTCCGCGTTGATGCTGCGATGGTTCTCCAAGTTGATGTCACCTTGCTCAGCTGGAAAAAAAAGTAAAAAGAAAGAAAAGAAAAATGAAAAAATGAGAACAGGACGCCCATGGGGTGAATGCAAAGAGAAGACACAGGCGATGCTATTTCTTGGGCTAAAGCAGCGGTTCTCAACCTTCCTGAGGCCGCGACCCCTGAATACAGCTCCTCATGCTGTGGGGACCCCCAACCATAACATTATTCTCGTTGCTGCTTCATCACTATATCTATATCATCAATATCTACATCTATATCTATATCATCTATATCTATATCTATAGCTATATCATCTATATCTATATCTATATCATCTATATCTATATCTATACATCTATATCTATATCTATACCATCTATATCTATATCTATATCATCTATATCTATATCTATATCTATATCTATATCATCTATATCTATATCTATATCATCTATATCTATATCTATATCTATATCATCTATATCTATATCATCTATATCTATATCTATATCATCTATATCTATATCTATATCATCTATATCTATACATCTATATCTATATCTATACCATCTATATCTATATCTATATCATCTATATCTATATCTATATCATCTATATCTATATCTATGTCATCTATATCTATATCTATATCTATATCATCTATATCGATATCATCTATCGTATCTAGATCATCTATATCTATATCTATATCATCTAGATCTATATCTATATCATCGATATCTATATCTATATCTATATCTATATTATATATCTATCTATATCTATATCTATATCTATATCTATATCTATAGTCTATATCATACTATTATCTATATCATCTATATCTATATCTATATCATCTATATCTATATCGATCTATATCTATATATCTATCTATATCTATATCATACCATCTATATCTATATCATCTATATCTATATCTATATACATCTATATCTATATCTATATCTATATCTATATCATCTATATCTAATTCTATTCATCTATATCTATCTATATCTATATCATCTATATCTATATCATCTATATCTATATCTAATATCATCTATATCTATATCTATATCATCTATATCTATATCTATACATCTATATCTATATCTATACCATCTATATCTATATCTATATCATCTATATCTATATCTATATCTATATCATCTATATCTATATCTATGTCATCTATATCTATATCTATATCTATATCATCTATATCTATATCATCTATATCTATATCTATATCATCTATATCTATATCTATATCATCTATATCTATATCTATATCATCTATATCTATATCTATATCTATATCATCTATATCTATATATCTATCTATATCTATATCTATATCTATATCATCTATATCTATATCATCTATATCTATATCATCTATATCTATATCTATATCATCTATATCTATATCTATATCTATATATCTATCTATATCTATATCTATACCATCTATATCTATATCATCTATATCTATATCTATATCATCTATATCTATATCTATATCATATATAATCTATATATCTATATCTATATCTATATCTATATCTATATCTATATCTATATTATCTATATCTTTATCTATATATCTATCTATATCTATATCATCTATATCTATATCTATATCATCTATATCTATATCTATATCTATATATCTATCTATATCTATATCTATATCATGTATATCTATATCTATATCTATATCTATATCTATATCATGTATATCTATATCTATATCTATATCATCTATATCTATATCTATATCATCTATATCTATATCTATATCTATATATCTATATCTATATCTTTATCTATATCTATATATCTATCTATATCAGTGTTTCCCAACCTTCCTAAGGCCGTGACCCTTGAATACAGCTCCCCATGCTGTGGGGACCCCCGACCATAACATTATTCTCGTGGCTGCGTCATCGCTGTCATGTGGCTGCTGTTATGAATCGTCATGGAAACATCTGACCTGCAGGATGGATTTTCATGGTGACACATGGAACATCATGAAAGCTCAGTGATCAATCACAAAAACAATATGTGATTATAGATGTGTTTTCCGACGGTCTGAGGCGACCCCTGGGAAAGGGGCGTTCGACCCCCCAAAGTGGCCGCGGCGTTAGGAAGGTTGAGAACCGCTGGGCTAAAGGGACCCCCTCTTCCCTACCCATCCCTCCGAAACCACAGCTCAGGGGGCCTCCCCGGGGCCTGTCTGCTTGCTCTTGAATTTGCTTCTCAAATTCCTTGTTTTTGGGGTTTTTTTTTTGCGATTTTTTGACACTGGTTTGGGGACTATGATTTTTCCGGTCAGTTCGTATAAATTTTAGAGATTTGTTTTGCTTTTTTTTTTAGATGAGGCATATTATCCTTTCTTTGTAATTTTTAAAAAATATATATTTTTAAATATATATATATATTATTATTATTAGTTAAGTTATTACAAATGTGTCCTCATCCCCCCCATTTTTAAATATATTTTTTAAATATATTATTTTAAAATTTACTTTTTAAATAGGAAGTTTTTTCTTAAAAAAGTTTTCATTGAATGAATTTTTTTAAATTTTTAAAATATATGTTTATTGATTTCAGAGAGGAAGGGAGAGGGAGAGAGAGAAAGATCGATGATGAGAGAGAATCGTGGACCGGCCGCCTCCCGCACGCCCCCTACTGGTTGGGGATGGAGCCCGCACCCCGGGCCTGGGCCCTGGACCGGGAATCGAACCCCGGACCCTTCGGTCCATCTGCTGACGCTCTACCCACTGAGCCACCCCGGCCAGGGCCTTACCGTTGTCCTTGAAGCAGAGCTTCTTCTTCTGGTAGGCGATGAAGCTGGAAACGGCCCCGGCCACGGCCACCACCACGGCCCCGATGATGCCGGGGATCACCCCCTGGGGCTCGGCTGCGGGGGGAACACGGACACTGGTTTTGGGGGGTACAGTCCTGGGGAGGACGGAGGGCCAGAGGGGAAGGGGAGGCCCAGGCTGCCGGAGGCAACCCATTCCCCCCCCCCCCCCCCCCCCCCGAGAAAGGAGGTTGGGGATGCACCACGGGGGGGGGGGGGGTTACCTAGGAGGAGCCCCATCACTGGGCAGCATTTAAAAAAGTTAAAAAACAAAAGAAATAAAACAAAAATAAATTTAATAAATAAAATAAAACAAAATAAATAAATAAAATGAAATAAATGAGTAAATAAAATAAATAAAAACAAAAATAAATAAAAATATTAAAATTAAATAACGAAATAAATAAAACAAAAATAAATTAAATAAATAAAACGAAATAAATAAGTAAAATGAAATAAATGAGTAAATAAAATAAATAAAAACAAAATAAATAAAAATATTAAAATTAAATAACAAAATAAATAAAACAAAAATAAATTAAGTAAATAAAACGAAATAAATAAGTAAAATGAAATAAATGAATAAATAAAAATAAAATAAATAAAAACAAAAATAAATAAAAATATTAAAATTAAATAACGAAATAAATAAAACAAAAATAAATTAAATAAATAAAACGAAATAAGTAAAATGAAATAAATGAATAAATAAAAATAAAATAAATAAAAACAAAAGTAAATAAAAATATTAAAATTAAATAACAAAATAAATAAAACAAAAATAAATAAATAAAATAAAACAAAATAAATAAATAAAACGAAAACTAAAATAAAATAAATAAATAAGTAAATAAAAATATCACATGATCTCACTCATTTCTGGATAACAAAGACCATTATAAACTTATGAACAAAAATAGATACAGAGGCAGAGCTGCCTCGAACAGACTGTCAAACTGCAGCGGGAAGGCCAGGGAGGGTTGGGGGGCAGGAAGGGGGTGCGGGGGGTAAGAGATCACCCGAAGGACTTGTATGCAAGCATCTGAGCATAACCAATGGACACCAGACTCTGGGGGTGTCCAGGGGAGGCCAGGGGATTGTCAAGGGCGGGGGGAAAAAAAAGGGAGACGTATGGAATACTCTTTGTAATACTTTAGGCAATAAAATAAATAAATAAATAAAACAAAATAAATTTCTGATTGGAAACAAAATAAATGAATAAGAATATTAAAATTAAAAACACAAAGTAAATAAAACAAAAATAAATTAAGTTAATAAAATAAAGTAAATAAAACAAACAAAAAAATCATAAATAAAAATAAAATACTAAAAAAAATAAATCAAAATATTAACATTAAAAAAACAAAACAAATGAAAATAAAATACTAAAATTCCCCAAACACAGGTTCAGCGCTACCTGGTGTGGCTCAGTGGTTAGAGCGTCACACTGCGGACTGAAGGGTCCCGGGTTCGATTCCCGGTCAGGGGCACAGGCCCGGGTTGTGGGCTCCGTCCCCAGTGGGGGGCGTGCAGGAGGCAGCCGATCCATGATTCTCTCTCATCATCGATGTTTCTACCTCTCTCCCTCTCCCTTCCTCTCTGAAACCAGTAAAAATATATTAAAAAAATAAAAATTAAATAAAAGTACATTATTTTTAAAAAATTAAAAATAAATAAAATCCAGCCCTAGCCATTGTGCCTCAGTGGATAGAGCGTCGGCCTGCGGACTGAAGGGTCCCGGGTTCGAATCCCGGTCAAGGGCATGGACCTGGGTTGCGGGCACATCCCCAGTGGGGGGCGCGCAGGAGGCGGCTGATCGATGTTTCTCTCTCATCGATGTTTCTAACTCTCTATCCCTCTCCCTTCCTCTCTGTAAAAAATCAATAAAATATATTTTTAAAAAATAAATAAAGTATTGGGGTGCAGGAGGCAACCCATCGATGTGTCTATCTCTCTCTCTCTCTCCCCCCCCTCCCTTCCACTCCCTCTAAAAAACAGTGGAAAAACAAAATAAATAAAACAAAAAAATGAAATAAAATGAATACACAAAAACAAATGAAAATAAAATGCTAAAATAAATAAATAAAAATATTAAAATTAAAAAACAAAATAAATGAAACAAAAAAAATAAAAACAAACAAAATAAATAAAAATAAAATACTAAAAAATAAATTCTCGGGTGAGAATTTTAAAAAGAAAAAAAAAACACGATAAAATAAAAAAAAATAAAATTCAATTTAAAAAACGTATTTTAAAAGAAAAGAAAATGGGAAAACCAGGGGTACGTACCCTGCCCGTCGCCCTCATGCCGCGGGCTGCCGCCTCCCCCACCGGCGCCGTCCCCGTCCCCGCCGCCACCTGCACCTCCAGTTCCACCTCCAGCTCCGGCTGTAAGACAGCGACAGACACAATGCAGCCCGCCCGGCCGGTGTGGCTCAGTGGTTAGGCGCCGATCGGCCTGGGAACCCGGAGGTCCTGGGTTCGAGTCACGCGGCATCGGTCAGATTCGGGGCTGAAGACACAATGCAGCCCGCCCGGCCGGTGTTGCCCAGTGGTTAGGCGCCGATCGGCCTGGGCTCCAGGAGGTCCCGGGTTCGAGTCACGCGGCATCGGTCAGATTCGGGGCTGAAGAGACAATGCCGCCCGCCCGGCCGGTGTTGCTCAGTGGTTAGGCGCCGATCTGCCTGGGCACCAGGAGGTCCCGGGTTCGAGTCACGCGGCATCGGTCAGATTCGGGGCTGAAGAGAATGCAACCCGCCCGGCCAGTGTGGCTCAGTGGTTAGACACCGATCGGCCTGGGCACCACGAGGTCCCGGGTTCGAGTCACGTGGCATCGGTCAGATTCGGGGCTGAAGGGACAATGCAGCCCGCCCTGCCGGTGTGGCTCAGTGGTTAGGCACCGGTCAGCCTGGGCACCCGGAGGTCCCGGGTTCGAGTCACGCGGCATTGGTCAGATTCGAGGCTGAAGAGACAATGCAACCCGCCCGGCCAGTGTGGCTCAGTGGTTCGGCACCGATCAGCCTGGGCACCAGGAGGTCCCGGGTTCGAGTCACGCGGCATCGGTCAGATTCGGGGCTGAAGAGACAATGCAACCCGCCCGGCCGGTGTGGCTCAGTGGTTAGGCACCAGGAGGTCCCAGGTTCGAGTCACGCGGCATCGGTCAGATTCGGGGCTGAAGAGACAATGCAGCCCGCCTGGCCACTGTGGCTCAGTGGTTAGGCACCAATCCGCCTGGGCACCCGGAGGTCCCGGGTTCGATTCCCGGTCAAGGGCACGCGCCCGGGTTGCGGGCTCGATCCCCAGCAGGGGGCGTGCAGGAGGCAGCCGATCCGTGATTCTCTCTCCTCATTGATAGTTCTGCCTCTCCCTCTCCCTTCCTCTCTGACATCAATATAAAACTATTATAAAAATAAAAATGAGCCCTGACCGGTGTGGCTCAGTGGCTAGAGCGTCGGCCTGCGGACTGAAGGGTCCCGGGTTCGAATCCCGATCAAGGGCATGGACCTTGGTTGCGGGCACATCCCCAGTGGGGGGCGTGCAGGAGGCAGCTGATCGATGTTTCTAACTCTCCCTCTCCCTTCCTCTCTGTAAAAAAAAAATCAATAAAATATATTTTAAAAAATGAAATAAATAAATTAAAATTAAATTTTTTTAAAAAAAAACCAGTACATTCGACGTGTCCTGTATCTAAGGAAGGTTAAAACACAGGGGACCATTTTTGGGGTCTGGAACGGATTCATTTCATTCACGTGATTCCTAACGTCGGGGGCAGAGGCGGGACGATTCGATTTTCAGACAAATCGCTTCTCAAGGAACCTTCCGGAAGGAATGAAGTTGGATAACCCCGGTGGCCCCTGTTGACGGAGAAAAGCGACAAAAGGAATAAGTAAGCCTACCTCCCCCTGAGGTCCCGTCCAGGAGGTCGGAATCTGAAAATCCACCTGAAAAAAAGAAAAAAAAATAGTGTCATCTATCATATTGCCATTCTCGGGGGGGGGGGGGGGGGGGGCGGGGGGGGGGTGAGTCCCCCAATATCTTGGCCCGAAGGAAACGCCATGAGAAACCAACACAGGGCTGGGCGGACCCCACCCGGGCATGAATTTTCGGTCGACATCTTCCCCCCCCCCCAAAAAAAAATGCAATGACACAGCCCCGGCCAGTGTGGCTCAGTGGTAGAGCAGGTTGCATTCCTGGCCAACGGGATGCCTCAGTAGTTGAGCATGGACCCAGGAACCAGGAGGTCAGGGTTCGATTCCCGGCCAAGGGCACAGGCCCGGGTTGCGGGTTCGATCCCCAGTCGGGGCCGTGCAGGAGGCGGCCGATCGATGATTCTTTCTCATCATCGATGATGCACCTATCTCTCTCTCCCTCTCTCTTCCTCGCTCTGAAATCAACAAAAATATATATTAAAAAGAAAAAAAAGAAAAAAGATGAGCCCTGGCTGGTGTAGCTCAGTGGATAGAGCGTCGGCCTGCAGACTGAAGGGTCCTGGGTTCGATTCCCGGTCAAGGGCATATGCCCGGGTTGCGGGCTCCATCCCCAACCAGTAGGGGGCGTGCAGGAGGCGGCCGGTCCATGATTCTCTCTCATCATCGACGTTTCTCTCTCTCTCTTCTCCCTTCCTCTCTCTGAAATCAATAAAAATAAAAAATAAAAATAAAAGATGTTCGCAAAACGGGAAACAAACCCATATTTTATAGAATCTTTGGGGGATGGTGCGCCCCCCACCCAGGAGAATGAGCTGACGTAAGGCTGAGTGAGGTTGGGCGCCGTGGCCTGCAAGGTGCGGCTCGAGAGCCACAGGCGGCTCTCTGGCCCCTTGAGTGCGGCTCTTCCTAAGCCTGAGGCGTCCCCCTCATGAAGTGAATCGCAATGGACCTGCCTATAGAGTTTAAGTTTAAAAAAATCCGGCTCCCCAAAGCGATTTCATGTCTAACCAGCCCGGAATGACTCCAGCCATCCTCATGCCAACTGAGGCGGCAGAAGAAAACGATAGCAGATGGAATTAAAGATACGAAGAGGAATTGTAAATACATGCATCAATAAAAAATAATTATTTTTTCTTATTTTTAAAAAAAAAAAAAATCTAAAAAAAAAAGATCATGGACCTTAAGCAAAAATAATAGCAGTGGATTTTGGAGGTTCTGACGCATAAAAGTAAAATGTATGACACTATGACAGCAATAGCACAAACGACGAGAGGAAAGAAATGGAAGCATATGGCTGAATAGTTTTAAAATATACTTGGGAGTGGTATAATATTATGTAAGGATACAGGGGGATCAGTTCATCAAAGTTCTATTGGGCCACAGCCAAAAAAAAAAAAAAAAAAAGGAAAAAGAAATTTCAATCGTCGTCCTGGTGATATTTGGCTCCGTTGACTAATGGGTTGGCCGACCTCTGGGTTAGGGTGTGACCTGAGGAAGAACTCAATCCCCCCAGGTGATATCGGCCCGGACGGCGTGGCCCCGGAGACACCACGACCAAGCCTACGTCCGCCACGCCCAGCCCAGACGCCTTAGTCATCACCCGGGAAGGCTCTGGATTTGGGAACGGCTCCTCAGACAAAACCAGCAGCTAGCGGACACCCACCAAACTTAATCCACCTTTTTACGAAAACCTTTCCTGACCAACTAGAGATGATTCCATGAAGGCAAAGATATATATATATATATAGAATTTTTTTAAGATATTTTTATTGATTTCAGAGAGGAAGGGAGAGGAAGAGAGAAATATCCATGAGGAGAGAGAATCGTGGACCGGCTGCCTCCTGCACGCCCCCGACTGGGGTTCCAGCCTGCAACCCGGGCCTGTGCCCTTGACCGGGAATCGAACCCGGGACCTCCTGGTTCATAGGTTGATGCTCAAACACTGAGCCACACTGGCTGGGCCAAAGGTATATCCTATATATAGAAGCCCAGTGATGAAAATGGCAGAACAACCAGAATGACCACGGCCCCTCGTCCCAGCTGGCCCTGCCCCCCAGTGAGTGGTTATGGGCGATCAGGCAGGCAGGAGAGTGGTTAGGGGCAATCAGACAGGCAGGCGAGTGGTTAGGGGCGATCAGGCAGGCAGGCGAGTGGTTAGGGGCGATCAGGCAGGCAGGCAGAGTGGTTAGGGGTGATCAGGCAGGCGGGCGAGTGGTTAGGGGCGATCAGGCCAGCAGGGGAGCAGTTAGAGGCATCAGGTCGCAGGGGAGCAGTTAGGGGCGATCAGGCAGGCAGAGTGGTTAGGGGTGATTAGGCAGGCAGAGTGGTTAGGGGTGATCAGGCAGGCAGGTGAGTGGTTAGGGGCGATCAGGCGGGCAGGCGAGTGGTTAGGGGCGATCAGGCAGGCAGGTGAGTGGTTAGAGGCGATCAGACAGGCAGGCGAGTGGTTAGGGGTGATCAGGCAGGCAGGTGAGTGGTTAGGGGCGATCAGGCAGGCAGGCGAGTGGTTAGGGGTGATCAGGCAGGCAGGCGAGTGGTTAGGGGTGATCAGGCAGGCAGGTGAGTGGTTAGGGGCGATCAGGCAGGCAGGTGAGTGGTTAGAGGCAATAAGGCAGGCAGGCGAGTGGTTAGGGGTGATCAGGCAGGCAGGCGAGTGGTTAGGGGTGATCAGGCAGGCAGGCGAGTGGTTAGGGGTGATCAGGCAGGCAGGTGAGTGGTTAGAGGCGATCAGGCAGGCAGGCGAGTGGTTAGGGGCAATAAGGCAGGCAGGCGAGTGGTTAGGGGCGATCAGACAGGCAGGCAGATGAGTGGTTAGGGGCGATCAGACAGGCAGGCGAGTGGTTAGGAGCCAGTGGTCCCGGATTGCGAGAGGGTGCAGGTCGGGCTGAGAGGACCCTTTCCCCATTGCACAGATTCCGTGCACCGGGCCTCTAGTTTTCTATAAAAACCTCCTTCAGTGCAAACCTTCAGATTCACGCGTTAAAAGACATAAAACAAAAGGGCAACTGCACTGTTGACACCTTCCCAGTGGGGGGCGTGCAGGAGGCGGCCGATCCGTGAGTCTCTCTCATCGGGGATGTTTCCATCTCTCTCCCTCTTTTTTCCTCCCGGAAATCCATATTTTAAAAAAAATATATATATATATATATTGTTAAAAAAATTCATGGCCCCATCCTATGATCATCTTCTTAGAAAAGCTAACCCGCGAAGAGAACCCGTTAAACCTTAAAAGGCTGTTCATAGTTAAGTGTCTATTTTTTTAAAAAAAACAAAAGCCTGTAAAAGCAATTTTCTTCGTTACAGAAATGATCAGAAAACAGATGGACCTAAAACGTAGCCCCAGAAATAAACAGAAACAGGGCAGCAACGCCGTTGAGAAACGCATTTAAAGGGGAAAAAAAATAAATAAATGAGAAAAGAATTTACATAACTGAATCCCCAAGGAAAACACGTTCCATTTGGCAAATGGGTCAGCATTTTGCAAATCCATTTGTAGTCATGAACAATTCAAAAGAAAAAATACTGTTAATGTCCGGCCTGTGTGGCTCAGTGGTTGAGCATCGACCTATGAACCAGGAGGTCCCGGGTTCGATTCCCGGTCAAGGGCACAGGCCCGGGTTGCGGGCTCCATGCCCAGTAGGGGGCGTGAGGGAGGCAGCCGGTCCATGATTCTGTCTCATTATGGATGTTTCTCTCTCCCTCTCTCTCTCCCTTCCTCTCTGAAATCAATAAAGATATATTTAAATATATATATATATATATGCCCTAGCCAGTGTGGCTCAGTGGATAGAGCATTAGCCTGCAGACTGAAGGGTCCCGGGTTCGATTCCCAGTCAAGGGCACAGGTCCAAGTGGTGGGCTTGATCCCCAGTAGGGGGCGTGCAGGAGGCAGCCGATCCACGATTCTCTTGTCATTATTTATATTTCTCTCTCTCTTTCCCTCTCCCTTCTTCTCGGAAATCAATAAAATATATTAAAAGAATACAGAAAACTCCTTTAATAATAATAATACTGTTAATTGTGGACACAAACGATAGTGCAGTGAAGGCCTTGGAGGGGCAGGTATTGGATGGAGTGAAGGGACTGGCTCCCCGAAAATTTAAGCAAAAATAAAGGCCCTAGCGGATAGAGCGTCGGCCTGTGGACCGAAGGGTCCTGGGTTCGATTCTGGTCAAGGGCACATGCCTGGGTTGAACTCCCGATCCCCAGTAGGGGGCGTGCAGGAGGCAGCCGATCCATGAATCTCTCTCATCACAGATGTTCCTGTCTCCCTCTCCCTCTCCCTTCCTCTCTGACATCCATAAAAATGCAAATTAGAAAAAAAAAATCACATGCAAATAAAACCAAAAGTATCCTTTTGAAAAGTGTCTCCCCCTGCTGGAAATTTGGAATTTCCCTGAACAGAGAAGACCAGTCAGCACATGCAAATCTGAATTCACCCCCTTCTCAGATGACGTGGAAAAAAATCAGTTTCCTGTAGAAAAAAAAAAACACACAAAAAAACACCAAAAAAGAAAAAACATACAGATTGGACAGGAAGCACGTTAGGGTCTTACCTGAGGTTTCTGGCTGCTTTGGGTTCGGATTCGGTTTGGGTCTCGGGGGAGCAGGAATTCCTGGGTCACCTGTTGGCCAAAGAGCAGAATTGCGATCAGGAGAAATTTCCAGGAAAGAAGTGCGCGAAGCACGCATTTGCCGATAAACGGTTTACCAGGCATACCCTGGGCCTGGGTGGGGAAAACCGTAGACTGGGGGTGGGGAACTCCCCATCTGTGAGCCAAAGAAGGCCCATGAAGTCGTCTGACCTTGCCAACACTTTGGGGGTGAGTTCACTCAATGTTCGACCCAATATAACAGGCTAATTTTTTTAAAAAAATAATTCTTTATTTCCTACAACGTTTGTGATATCATACTAGGTAAGTACAGTTGTGGTAATATTATTAGACTAGAGGCCTGGTGCACTGAAATTCATGCACTCGGGGTGTGTGTGGGGTGTCCCTGAGCCCGGCCTGCACCCTCTCACAGTCCAGGAGCCCTCGGGGGATGTCCGACTGCTGAGGAGGTGGGAGAGGCTCCCGCTACCGCCAGTGCACTTTCCAGCCGTGATCCCAGCTTCTGGCTGAGCAGCTCTCCCCCTGTGGGAGCACACTGACCACCAGGGGGCAGCTCATGCGTTGAACATCTGCCCCCTGGTGGTCAGTGCCCATCGTAGCGACCGGTCATTCCACCGTTTGGTCCATTTGCATATTTGCCTTTTATTATATGGGATTTAAAATCTTTTTCCTTGAAATATTGATGTCGGTTGTGTGTAATATTTTTATACCTAAAATCGTTTCTCTTGAAAAAATAAAAAATACATGAATAAATAAATAATTCCTTATTGTTGACAGTATTAGATAGGTCCCCCATGATTCCTCCACTGACCCCTCCATTCTGCCCCCACCCCCACCTCCTACCCTAGGCCCTCACCCCCCTATGGTCTGTGTCCGTGGGTGACGCATCAATGCATACAAGGTCCCTGGTTAACTACCTCCCGCCCACCCATCCTGTCCTGCCTTCCCTCTGAGATTCCACACTCTGTTCCATGCTCCCATGTCTCTGGATATATTTTGTTCATCAGTTTATTCGGTTCATTAGCTTCCAGGTAGGAGTGAGATCATGGGGTATATGTCTTTCTCCGACTGGCTTATTTCCCTCAGCATCATGCTCTCCAGGTCCCTCCATGTGGTCCCAAAGCAAAGGGTGAGAGATCCTACCTTTTTCAGGGCTGCATACTACTCCACGGTGTACCTACCCCAAAGCTTTTTTATCCACTCGTCTACGGATGGGCACCTGGGCTGGTCTCCTGATCTTAGCTCTTATAAATGGTGCTGGCAGGCTAATTTTCTTTTTAAGTGGACACTTTTGTATGGCCCGCTATAAATATGCAAATGGCCATAGACCATCAACCACCTGAGGGTTGCTTTCCACCGTCTACCGCCCGCAATAGTGAAGTTCACGTGTCTCCAATAGAAACGAAGAAATAGCTCTCGCCGTTTTGGCTAAGTGGATAGAGCATCGGCCTGGGGACTGCAGGGTCCTGGGTTCGATTCCCGGTCAAGGGCACATGCCCGGATTGTGGGCTGGATCCCCAGTAGGGGGCGTGCAGGGGGCGGCCGATCCGTGATTCTCTCTCCTCATGGATGTTTCTCTCTCTCTCTCTCTCTCCCTCTCTTTTCCTCTCCGAAACCAATAAAAATCTATATAGAAATAAATTTAAAAAAATAAGAAAAACAAAGGTACTTACTGTGTCCCCCACCACCCAGGGCATCTTCTAAACTTAAGTCATCACCTAAAAAGGGAGAAATAGCTTTTAATACCCAAGTTCAGGGGCCGGGGCGAAATCAAAGGAAAAAAATATCTTTCATTGGAGAAAACGCTGCATCTCCAAATCGCTACATAACTTTCTTGACCAGGATCTCCACGGAAACACCCACTTCCCCAGTCAATTTTCCCATCATGCATCCCTCCGATGAAAAAAGAACCAAGAGCCTTAGCTGGTGTGGCTCAGTGGCTAGAGCGTCGGCCTTGCAGACTGCAGGGTCCCGGGTTCGAATCCAACCAAGGGCACATGCCCAGGGTGTGGGTTCGATCCCCAACCAGTAGGGGGCGTGCAGGAGGCGGCCGATCCATGATTCTCATCTTTGATGTCTCTCTCCCTCTCCCTTGCTCTCTGAAATCAATAAAAAAAAAAATTTTTTTTTAAATAGTCAATTAGCCCTGGCTGGTGTGGCTCAGTGGCTAGAGCGTCCGCCTGCGGACTGAAGGGTCCTGGGTTCGATTCCCGGTCAAGGGCACAGGCCCGGGTTGCAGGCTCGATCCCCAACCAGTAGGGGGCGTGCAGGAGGCAGCCGATCCAGGATTCTCATTCATCATCGATGTTTATCTCTCTCTCTCTCTCTGAAATCAATAAAAATATGTGTTTGTTTGTTTTTTTTTAATAAAAGCCAGGAAAGCCAGAAAGACTGTCCACAGGACCCAATTGTATCTCCTAGAATCATCACCATCCTTTTTTTAGGAGAATCATTGGACGGCACCAGGCGATGCACAGGCAGGACTGGTCTGTATCCACAGCCCCCCGAATCCAATGTCTTCACACTTGTCTCCGCCTCTCCCAGCTCTGGGGCCGAGGACAGGGACCCACAATGGTTTTCCCCTCCCTCTCTGGCACCCCAAGAACATCTGCTTCTCACCAGAACTGGGTTTCTTTGGCGTAGGTGTGGGCTTCTTGGGGCCGTCTGCAGAGAAAAGACATTCCACGGTCAGTGAAACAGGGTCACCTCTCAACCAGGCTCCATTTAAAAATAAAAATAAAATAAAATAAAATGAAAATATATACTCAAAACATTCTATGTGCTCATTTCAACAGGTGCGGCCCTGGCTGGGTAGCTCAGCCAGTTGCAATGTTGTCCCGGCCACCAAAGGGTTATGGGTTCGAATCCCGGTCCAGGGCACCTGCCCGGGGTTGCGGGCTCGATTCCCAGGAGGGGGCCTGCAGGAGGCGGCCGATGCATGATTCTCTCTCATCACCAGCATCCTCTCTCTCTCTCTCTCTCTCTCTCCCCCTCCAAAAATCAATAAAAATATTTTTTTAATAAAAATGAGGCCTAGCTGGTGTGGCTCAGTGGATAGAGCGTCGGCCTGCAGACTGAAGGGTCCCGGGTTCGATTCCCGGCCAAGGGCAGATGTCCGGGGTTGTGGGCTCCATTCCCAACCAGTAGGGGGCGTGCAGGAGGCGGCCGGTCCATGATTCTCTCTCATCATGGATGTTTCTCTCTCTCCCTCTCCCTTCCTCCCTGAAATCAATAAAAATATATTAAAAAAAAATAGCAATGGATTCTTCCACCTCCACGTCGTAAAGAGTCTACTAGTACCAACGGTCACAGGAACAAAATAGAAATGCAATGCTGCCCATGTGACTCACCATCAAAGGCATCCGCTAAGTCGAAATCGCCTGAAAGAAAGAGAGTCCTGTAAGAAATCAGGAAAAAAAGCAAACCAGGCTTGGGAAGGAAGAAAAGAATTTAAAAAAAAAATTTTTTTTTTAAAGGAAACTAGATTGTGTGAGGTGTGTGGGGGGGTTATTTTGAAGTTTTGGGAAACACAGGAATGTGTTGTGACGCCTCGTCTCCTTCTAAATAGCCACTTGAACCCCTAAAAGGAATGTCCGTGTTTATAGCGAACAATCGATGGATTTCGCAGAAGTAAAAATAGTGGGGCATACGTCGCCCTAAAAAGGCTGGTCTGTGGAAGTGGGTGAGGAACACCCCGGCTGGTGGGGCTCCGTGGTTGAGCCTCGACCTACGAACCAGGAGGTCCTGGGTTCGATTCCCGGTCAAGGGCACAGGCCCGGGTTGCGGGATCCATCCCCAACCAGTAGGAGGCATGCAGGAGGCAGCCGGTCCATGATGGATGTTTCTCTGTCTCTCTCCCTCTCCCTTCCCCTCTGACCTCAATAAAAATATATTCTAAATATGCTATAGAATAAAAGCCTAAAATGCTAAGTGTCCAGTTCAACCAATCAGAGCGTAATATGCAAATGACATGCTAAGGCCGCTCAATTGCTCGCTATTACGTGCACGGACCACCAGGGGGCAGACAGTCGACAGGTCGACCAGTCGCTATGACGTGCACTGACCACCAGGGGCAATCAGTCAACTGGTCGACCAGTCGCCATGACGTGCACTGACCACCAGGGGGCAGAAAGTCAACTGGTCAACCAGTCGCCATGACGTGCACTGACCACCAGGGGGCAGAGAGTCAACTGTTCGACCAGTCGCTATGACGTGCACTGACCACCATGGGGCAGAGAGTCAACTGTTCGACCAGTCGCCATGACGTGCACTGACCACCAGGGGGCAGAGAGTCAACTGTTCGACCAGTCGCTGTGACGTGCACTGACCACCAGGGGGCAGAGAGTCAACTGTTCGACCAGTCGCTATGACGTGCACTGACCACCAGGGGCAATCAGTCGACTGGTCGACCAGTCGCTATGACGTGCACTGACCACCAGGGGCAATCAGTCGACTGGTCGACCAGTCGCTATGACGTGCACTGACCACCAGGGGCAATCAGTCGACTGGTCGACCAGTCGCTATGACGTGCACTGACCACCAGGGGCAATCAGTCGACTGGTCGACCAGTCGCTATGACGTGCACTGACCACCAGGGGCAATCAGTCGACTGGTCGACCAGTCGCTATGACGTGCACTGACCACCAGGGGCAATCAGTCGACTGGTCGACCAGTCGCTATGACGTGCACTGACCACCAGGGGGCAGACAGTCAACTGGTCGACCAGTCACTATGACGTGCACTGACCACCAGGGGGCAGACAGCCGACGGGTCGACCAGTCGCTATGACGTGCACTGACCACCAGGGGGCAGACAGTCAACTGGTCGACCAGTCACTATGACGTGCACTGACCACCAGGGGGCAGTCAACTGGTCGTCCAGTCGCTATGATGTGCACTGACCACCAGGGGGCAGACAGTCAACTGGTCGACCAGTCGCTATGACGTGCACTGACCACCAGGGGGCAGACAGCCGACGGGTCGACCAGTGGCTATGACATGCACTGACCACCAGGGGGCAGACGCTCTGACCAGTAGGTGAGCTTGCTGCTGGGGTCCGGCCGATCGGGACTGAGCGAGACGGGCCAGACACGCCCTGGAGCCCTCCCAGGTCCCTCCCCGGCCCCTATCGTGGAACCCCACTGGTGCACAAATTCGTGCACCGGGGCCTCTAGTATATTTATAAAAACCTAAGCGACAGTCCGACCGTCCGACCGTCCGACCATCCGACCGTCAAACCGTTCGCCCGGTAGCTATGACATGCAATGACCACCAGGGAGCAGACGCTCTGACCAGTAAAGGAGGGAGTGTGATTCCTGGTGAAACCAGCCGTGGCTTAGGTTGCTGCTGGGGGGCTGTCGGACCCGAATCCGTTTCACCCGCACCCCAAACCCTCGTCTCCGACATCCCCCGAGGGGTCCCGGAGTGCGAGAGGGCACTGGCCAGGACGAGGGACCCCACCCGTGCATGAGTCCCTGGACCAGGCCTCTAGTCGATATAGATAAAAGCCCAGCGACCCAATGGCAGAATGACCGGTTGCTATGACATGCACTGCGGCGGCCGGCTGACCGGTCCAGGCCCGATCGGCCCGCCCTGCACCCTCCCGCGGACCTTCCCACCAGCCGGCCCTGACCCCTATCGTCCCCCATCAGGGCGAGATGGCCGGACCGCACCAGTGCATGAGTTTGTGCACCAGGCCTCTAGGATATATAGATATAGATGATAGATATAGATATAGATATAGATATAGATATAGATATAGATATAGATATAGATATAGATATAGATATAGATATAGATATAGATATAGATATAGATATAGATAGATATAGATATAGATATAGATATAGATATAGATATAGATATAGATATAGATAATTATAGATGAGATATAGATAGAGAGATAGAGATAGAGATAGAGATAGAGATAGAGATATACAGATATAGATGATATAGATATAGATATAGATGATATAGATATAGATATAGCTATAGATATAGATATAGATATAGATATAGGTATAGATGTATAGATGATAGATATAGATATGGATATAGATATAGATATAGATATAGATAGATAGATATAGATAGATATAGATGATATAGATAGATATAGTTTGATATAGATATAGATATAGCTGATGTAGATATAGATATAGATTTATCTATAGATATAGATTAGATATAGCTTATAGGCTATAGATTATCGATATCGATTTATAGATATAGATAGATATAGATATAAGATATAGATCCGATAGATATGATAGATATAGATATAGATAGATAGATAGATATAGATAGATAGATAGATAGAGATAGATAGATAGATTTTTTAAAGGTAACGATCCATTTATTTACTTACTAGAGGCTCAATGTACAAAAATTCATGCAAGAGACTTGACCCTCGCACCCGTAGTGGCTTTCCTCAACCCTCGCAGCCCCGGTTTCGTCCAGAAGGTTGTACGGAAGGACGTCCGGTCTAATTAGCATGATATGCGTTTATTATTATAGATTATATTCTTGTTTTGAAAACAGCAAGGAAGGGAGAGAGAGAGAGAAGAGAGAAAAATATCCACGATGAGAGAGAATCACGGACTGGCCGCCTCCCGCACGGCCCCCACTGGGGTTGGAGCCCGCAACCCAGGCCTGTGCCCTTGACGGGATTCGAACCCAGGACCCTTCAGTCTACAGGCTGATGCTCTATCTACTGAGCCCAACCAGCTAGGGCAGCTATCCCTTAATGTAAAAAAAAAATGAATGAAAGAAAGAAGGAAGGAAGGAAGGAAGGAAGGAAGGAAGGAAGGAAGGAAGGAAGGAAGGAAGGAAGGAAGGAAGGAGGAGAGAGAGACAGAGAGAGAGAGAGAGAGGATTCTCGAGACAACCACACCTGTTGACCTTTCCCTGAGCTCCTTGTCACCGACGTGGGAGAACTGGTCTGGCAGCTCCAAGCTGGGCACCGGGACCCCCTGAGGTCACGGGCGATGGGCCCACGGGTGCCCCAGGGACACAGACGTGAAACCTTCCAGCTGCAGAACCTGCCACCCCGGGGCGTCCCCCTAAACTTGTGAGCCGGAGCCCAGATGGTCCCCCCGTTTCCAGGCGGCCCCTCCAAACTCCAGATGTGAGGAAAACAGGCCGTGAGTCACCCCAGGGCGAGGCCAGGGCCCCACCCACCGGGTGACGGGCATGACTCATGCTCTGAGCATTCTCCCTTCAGATTCTTCTTTTTTTTTTTTTAATATCTCACTCAAGAATATTTTTTCCACTGATTTTTTAAATTTTATTTTCAGATTAGAGGCCCGGTGCATGAAATTCGTGCATGGGGAGGGGGGTCCCCTAAGCCCAGCCTGCACCCTCTCCAATCCAGGACCCCTCTGGGGATGTCTGACTGCCGGTTTAGGCCTGATCGCGCAGGCCTGATCACCCCTAACTGCTCTCCCCTGCTGGCCTGGTTGCCCCTAACTGCTCTCCCCAGCCGGCCTGATTGCCCCCAACTCCCCTCCCCTGCCGGCCTGATCGCCCCCAACTGCCCTCCCCTGCAGGCCTGATCGCCCCTAACTGCTCTCCCCTGCCGGCCTGATCGCCCCTAACTGCCCTCCCCTGCCGGCCTGATCGCCCCTAACCGCCCTCCCCTGCCGGCCTGATCGCCCCCAACTGCCCTCCCCTGCCGGCCTGATCACCCCCAACTGCCCTCCCCTGCTGGCCTGATCGCCCCTAACTGCCCTCCCCTGCCGGCCTGATCGCCCCCAACTGCCCTCCCCTGCCGGCCTGATCACCCCCAACTGCCCTCCCCCTGCCGGCCTGATCGCCCCTAACTGCCCTCCCCTGCCGGCCTGATCGCCCCTAACCACCTCTGCCCTCGGTTTGACTGGGGAACCCCTCCTTGAGGACATTCTTTGAGGTTCACGGGGAGGCAGGGACCTCCCGGGACCCTCTGCTTGGTCCCCCTGCTGCAGAGTACAGGTTCCGGAACCCCGGTGGACCCCAGTTTCTCCTCATAGTTCCTGGGGTGTCCCTGGAAAATGGACCATCATCGCCAGCATCTCGCGAATGAGTCGTGAGGCCCTGAGAGTCACACAGTTTGGGTGCCTCTACTCTGCTCGAGCCTTCGCTGGGACGCTCTACTTGGCCATCAAAATAAACCCCCTTCTTTCCATCCAGGAGAACTCCTATGGATGCCTCAAAGCCCCAGGGGAAGGACGCCTCCTCTGGGAAGCCTCCGTCATTCCTCATGGATGGATGGATGGATGGACAGACGGACAGGTGGACATGATAGATGATGGATGGATGGAGGGATGGATGGATGGATGGATGGATGGATGGATGGATGGATGGATGTGATGGATGGATGGATGGATGGATGGATGGATGGAGGA